AGCATGGGGGTGAGTAGAAAATGAAGGCTAATCATGTTTTGGGTGTACTATTCCTTTAAGTTTCATGCAATAAATATATAGGATTGTTTTTTTTTTTTATTGTGTGTACCTGAAAAAGAAAACTTGTTTATTTTAGGAGCCATGCATATTTTCGATTTGCCTCTTAATTCTCTAGCAGATAAAAGCTAATGCTGTTTGATCTTAGAGCTTTTCTTACTGGCCTGCTGCATTTTTAACAGCATCATTGTCAAATGTTGTTTAAGCTTTAGTTTCATTACAAAGAGACTTAATAAATCCATGCCCAGTCAGATTATTCTGTAAAATCTTTGCTGGTTTTCTACTGGAATTTTCCTTAAGTTTCTTAGTTCACACCACTGTCCTCTCTTTTATCTTTATTGGGAAAGACTTCAACAGGCTGCTGCCATAGCAACTAAATCCCTCTTGATGCTGTACAGAGTAACAGAGGTCTCTAAGATATTGCGAGCCTAGAGAGGTTCATCCCAGATACTTTACTGTGCTTCTGGTCTCAGTAGCAATAAAACCTCAGGGATTTATCTTCTTACTCTCTTTTAGTTTGCAGTCGATTGATGCCTTATTCTCTAAACTGAGCTCCATGCAATTCAATGTAACCTGAGTCAATCTCAGACTAGAGCAATGATTGGAACATAAGAGCTGCACAGTCTGACTCATTTGGCTCTTACCTGCCTTTAATGGTCAGTATCAGAGGACTTGTAATATATTAACAAGAGGTCTGTATTGTTATCATAGCCTGGTTAACTTTGCTCAGCTCTTTGTTGGTGCTGTTAGATGCCATGCAGGTCATTAAATGATGCCTGGGTCGTGCTATGTCACCTCAGAGATAATCAAAAATGATGGTGAAGTCTGCAGCTGGAGTGGAGATTTTATCACAGACGCTGAAATACACATTTTTCAGGTCAGCAACAGAGTTCTACTATCAAAACCTCATGCTTTCCTAACGGGAATTTCCTCAATACTGTTTTTTTTGCTTTTTTGTAAGGTTTAAATAGATGGATGGATGGATGGATGGATGGATGGATGGATGGATGGATG